GATATGTTTAGCTTAATGCTTTATTGTTTTCAGTTTTAGAAAATGCATCTGAAATTATCTGACTAATAAAATCTGTCTTCCTCTTTTTGTTGTTTTTATTTTTTATTTTTGTATCCCTGTTCCCAATTTGCATTTAGGTGTACAGGACCAATCAGTGTGCTGGCGAGTTTGTTGTGACCTTTCCTCGTGCCTATCACTCTGGATTTAACCAGGGCTACAACTTTGCTGAAGCTGTGAACTTCTGTACTGCTGACTGGGTCTGTTCTATAGCAAGTGGCTGTTGTACGTCTACTAACCCCCTATAAATATAAAGCAGCTCAGTTGCCATGTTTGCTTAGCTGGGCTGAGGGTAGGGTTCATCAGTATTTTAATGGAGACTGGAGTGGCTATTATAGTTTAGAAAGCTAAGTAGATTTCCATCACATTTTTTATTTTGAAGATTTCCATCACATTTTTTATTTTGAAGATTTTATAGTTCTTACCCATTTATTATTTTCCTCATTCTGTTTGAACTTGCTTCCCTCATTTCCATTCTTTTCCTTCCCTTTCCCCTTCCGCCATTTCTTTCTTTCCTTCCTTTCCTTCTCTCCTTTGCTTTCCTTTATTTGGACTCCCTCCCTTCTGATCAGGTGCTCAGAAGAGAGAGACTGTTTGAACTTATAAATAGTCAGTCGATTCTTTCTGAATCCTCCTTTTCTAAGGGAAAATACAGATTGGTGCAAAAGTAATAGTGGCTTTTGCCATTGAAGATACAAGTTGGTGCACAAGTAATTGCAGTTTTAAAACCACAACTACTTGTGTACCAACGTATGGTTTTCTTAGCTTTTGCTTTCTCTGAGCATTTTTGGGACTTATTAAGGTGATCAGGCTTATAGAGATAATTTCAGATATTCTACCATGTTTTCAAATACGTAGCTTTGAAATTTTACAAATTCCTTCATTTTTTTTTTTTTCTGGTAGATAATTAGGTGATTTTATTAGTCTTGCCATTTTATGTTTTATTCTGTTCCTTTTTTTAATTTTAAAGGAGTAACTATAATATTGAGATCTCTGCACTATACTTTTATGTAAATGATAACGCTAGGTAATTGCTGTTTTGCTTTTGTATGAAGTAGATAATCAAAAAGTATTTAGTGACTGTTATGTTGCTTGGGAGAAGGCTATACAGTATATTTATGATACACACTGACTTTATTTTCTTGTATGGGTGCTGTTTTTGTTGCTTCTGTTAACATTTTGGGGGCAACCCTTTAATAATGGATCTTATGTTTTCTGCAGGCACCTTAATTTGTTAAATTCCATGATTAACCATATAGAGATTGTTTTTGTTTCCTTTGCTAATGAGTAAAATGATACAATGAATAGTCTTTCTTGATCCAATAGTTTTGAAATTTTTTCTTATTAGTCTTTGGAAACAGCATAGTTTAGCAAGAACAAGACTAGGCTTAGGATTTTGCCTTGGGCTTGAGCTCTGTTTCTAAACATTCAACCAGCATTTATTGAGTGTTTATGATACATGGTAATTGGCTAGGTATAGAAAATGGGAGGATTTAGGAGCTGGAGATAGTTTCTGCTGTTCCCCTTGTCACTGTTATTGGCATTTGACCTTGGGCAGCTTTTAACATTTCACTGGGCCTAAGTTTTTTAGCTGGTATGTAAAGATGCTGGTAGATTCACTTACTAACCTCAGACAAGTTAGAGGATATGCGTGGAAGCCCTTGACACTGTTTAGAAGAAGGGTGTGATACAAATTAAAAGTTGTAGCAATTTTAGCTCTGGAATAAATTAATGGGACTAATTTTTATAAGTTACAGTGGGTAATCACTTCTGTTTTAT